GACAAAGAGATTCCAGCTATTTATCCAAGGTCATATACAGACGACAGGAGAAGATATTCTCAACTATGAGCAAAGAACAAAATTCACTCACGTCACAGCACATTCGAAAACTACTCATGCAACAATGCAAGGCAAAGAGAAGGCTAACCATTAACAAAGAAGAACAATGATATGGTCTACAATTTGTAGTCATTATTGACAGAAACAACATCAAATTTTTTAAGGACTTTCATTGCTAAGTTCTGCTATGTATTCTCAACGGACTGATTCAAAATCCACGGTTGTCGTCAATCCGGGTGTGAAGTACTGCAGGAAATTCGTTGGTTGTGCAAGATCCTGTTACACAATCTCCACGCCAACAAAGATTACAAATAACCGAGCGGGACAAACTTTGAGATTCTTCGGGTTGCCAGATGAGCAATTGTGTCTTGTGGGAAGAAGCCATGATACCATCAACCGTGAGGTATGACATTTGAAATCCATATTAGGAGGAGAAGCAATGAGACTGACGTCAGCACCATAGATCATCAGGAAATACCCCACATTCCTTGGATATAACAACAAACAGGAGAAATAACAGAACGTCCCTTGAGGAGAAGACAAGCCAGTACTCTTTGAACCACCGGATCTTCAAGTTTTGAATTTAAAAGAGTATTGGCAACTCAAACACCGAGCCTATAAACGAGGAGGTGGGTCAACGGTTTCTTACTCCTGAACGCGATCGTCTGACTCAACTAGTGAACAAAGTGAAACCCACGGACTTCAGATGGCTTTACCAGACTCCACCTTATCACCCCCCAACAGAGAGAGACATCCTCCCAGACGCGAGACATCTTCTATAAAGAGGAGAGCTGCTAGGAGATGCCGACAATAATGAAGGAACAGGTAATTAAGTAGTTTACTTTTTTTTATATTTATATAGTTATACATATATAGTTTTACTATCTCTAGTTGTTAATGGTAATATAATATTAATTATATAACTCATATCTCTTCGAGGTGACAGTCATTGTACCCGTCATGGGAATTACATTTGATAGCCATCTCAAGATCCTTTAAGTCACTGAGAGTGAATTTTTAGTGATCACGAGTAACCTAAGAAAAAATTACCATCTGTATTTCCTACTAAATATTACTTTACTATACGATTTGGAAATGTCATATTCATAGTTATGATTTACCCATAACGTATTTTATTACTTTCCCTCAAGTATTACTGAGGCTTTAACCAATATAATCATTTATGTACTCTAAGTAAGCAGGCACAGATCATAAAATGCAAGTTGGAGAATTAGATTTTAGGGGATCAAGCATTCTACTGAGATTAAAGTTGGTGAAGGCTTACTGAAATTAGACACCAACATGGTGATATTAAGATCTCATATTGAAATACCCTTGATGTTTACTGAGTGTACTCTACCTACTGATCCTGTACGCGTCGAGGAAAAAATGTAGATGGCTGCTGTATTGGAAGAGGTTGCTCTAACAGGTGACCAGTATAATGTAATTGCAAGATGGAAGCAGCTATTAAAGGTTCCTGGTGATTTATATAATACGGATGTTTTAGTTAAACCTCGATATATAAGCTGATGCATCAGACCTCCTGAGAAAGAATGTATCAGGACATATATTAGCAAGCCTCACTACCAACTTGGTGATCCACTAATGATAAAAGTGCCATAGGATATAAGACTCAATATTGGATATGATAACTTTAAGCGGGAACTCTGCCATGATTGGATAGATCCAGGACTTCAAGTCCACTACATTTAGACTATTATAAAACGACCGGATATGCCTAGAAGACTATAAACAATTACATTGTGCTATTGGCTAGAACTTCTTTAGAGCACGTTAAATTCCTATTTGATGAATACAGAGAACTTGGCATAAACAACGAATTTGAGTAGTTATATTACCTACTGGCCTTTACCAATGACAACTGGTGGTACATATCAAAAATCTAATCCAAGGTCAGGTAGAATTCCAGATAGATTGCTTGGCAGATTAAAGAAGTTTTGCTGCATCTCCTTCCGGTCTCCATTCTCAAATGAATCATGGTCTCTGAAGACCAGTTCGTATTGCGGGTGCTTAAAGGGTTACGAGGGGATTCTGGAGAAGACCTCTACATCCTTTCAAGCCTGTAAGGACAACCTGAATTGTATTAAGAGAGTATGGTGTCCTATTTCTTTTTAGAAAAAACTGCTTACCAATAGGTTAACATGTATCTTTAGAGGATAGAAATTATTATGATCTTTTAATCGGATAACTCATCTAATTCATTGTTAATATTAGTGATGCTTATTATCTTTTTACTCTGCCATGAGCTTATGTATTCGATATAAGCTTTATATGTACTAACAAATACTAATTGGAATATGATTTGGACCTGCTATATCTCATAATATATTTGCTTTATTACATCTTTCTTTATCCTTATTTACTTATATATATATATATATATTATTATATAGACTGCCTTCGCATAAAGTTCCTAATATCTTAGAATATGAGTATAATCATATATATTAAAGTAACTTCTACTTCCACTTCCTCGTAAGTTCAGTCTCTTTATTCCCTTTCCACCTTCCTCACACTTCAGTCTCTATTCCCTTTCTCCCCTTCCCCACTACTTTACTCTGATTCCCTTTTTCCGCTCCTTCTTCTATTTACACTGGGGGTTCATACAGTAATACCTTCTGGCCGTAATTCACCTTCCCAAAGCTTTTAATAAAATATTCTTGGGTATTTTATAAGATTTTATTCCCAACAATACTATTTCAAAGCCGCTTTGCGGCAAACAGTTTTAAATTTTTATATGTACATTTGCCAACTTAGTTGGCGGTCCCTAAGGGACCAATGTAAATATATAAAATTTAAACTTTTGGCGCAAAGCGCTTTGGGAAATAGATTTGTTGGGAATAAATCTTATAAATACCCAAGGAATATTTTATTTAAAGATTTGGGGAAGGGAATGACGCCAGAGGTATACTGTATGGAACCCCCATGTGTAAATAGAAGACGGAAGCGAAAAGGAATACAGAGTAAAGTATTGAGAAGGGGAAAGGGAATAGCGACTGAAGTTGTGAGGAGTGGAAAGGGAATAGATACTGAACCTCCGAAGGAAGTGGAAGTAGAAGTTATGTATAAAATATATATGATATCCTCATATTTTCTAATATCATAGACTTTATGGAAGGCATTCTATATAATATCTTATATATAATATAAGTAATAAGGATAAAGAAAGATGTAATAAAGCGATTATAATTATTGATTATAGCAGTCAAATCATTTCGCAATTGTATTGGTGTTATTACATAAAGCCTTATATCTGAATACCATAAGTCCCATGGCCAGAGTAAAAGATATCACATCACTAATATACAATGAATTTGGATAGTTTCATCCGATAACAGATTCATAATAATCACAAAGTCTATCCTCTAAAGAATACATGGTTAACATATTGTGTAAGCAGTTTTTTCCTAAAGAACTAGGACACCATACTCTCTTAAATACAATTCAGGTTGTCCTTTACATGCATTGGACATGATGTAGAGGTCTTCTCCATATCCCTCTTAAGCCCTTTTCAGCAGAATAACTGGTATAGAGCCCATCATCAATCTTGAGAAATGGAGACTCGGAAGATGCAGCAAAAACTTCTTTAATCTGCCAAGCACTCGCTATCTGGAATTATACATACTTGGATTAGGTTTTATATGTACACCGAGTTTGTCAATTGGTAAGGAGTAGGAATATAATTACTCAATTATTTGTATGCCAGTTTCTCTGGATTCAGCCCAAATAACATTTAACGGCTAAAGAAGAGGTTCTCTAGCTCAAATAGCACAATGTTGTTTAAGTTCTGGCATATCCGGGGTTCGTTTATAATAGTCATAAGAGTAGTTTGGACTTGAGTCCTGGGATCTTCCAATCATGGGCAGTTCCCCGTAAGTTAATCATTATCCCAATTAAATGAGTCTTATATCCTATGCATTTTTTATCTTGCTGGTCACAAGTTTGTAGTAGTCTTGCTAATATATGTCCTGATACATTCTTTCGCTGATTCCTGATGCATCAGGCTTATAATATCGAAGTTTTACTAAACATCCTTATTAAAAAGTCACCAGGACCTTAATAGCTGGCTACATCTTGCAATGACATTTACTGTCACCTGTTATGAGGCCACCTCTTCCATTACAGCCGCATCACATTTTTATCCTCAACTGTATCATTATCAGTAGGTAAGTACACTCAGTAACATCAAGTGTATTTCCAATATAGATCTTAATATCACTCATGTTTTTTTTTCTTTTTAATTTTCAGTATGCCTCACCAACTTTAATCTCAGTATAATGCTGACCCTCTACAAACCTTAATTCTCCAACTTTGCCTTTTGATCTGTGCCTTCTTACTTAGAGTACATAAATGATTATATTGGTTAAACCTCGGTACTACTGATGGCAAGTTAAAAAATCTATAGGTAACATCATGAATATAATTACTTCCATCATCTATAGTAAAGTAAGTATTTGTTAGTAAATGCAGATGGTAACTTTTTTCTAGGTTACTCTTTATCACTAACTTCACTCACTGACTTTAAAGGATTCTGAAGATGGCCTACCAAATGTAATTCCCATTGAGATTACCAATTGACCAACTGAAAGAGATATATTATATAATTAATAATATATACATAACAACTAGATATAGTAATATATATATATAACTCTATAAAATAATATAAAAGTAACTAATAATTACCTGTTCCTTCATTATTTTCTGCATCTCTACACTCTCCTCTTTCTAAAAATTGTCTCGTCTGGGAGATGTTCTCTCTGTTGGGGGTGTAAGGTTGAGACTGTAAGGCCATCTTGAAGTCCGTGTGGTTTCACTTGGTTCACTAGTTGAGTGAGACGATCCGCGTTCAAGAGTAAGAACCGTTGGACCACCTCCTCGTTTATATAGGGCTCGGTGTCCTGAGTTGCCAATACTCTTTAAATTCTAAATTTGAAGATCCGGTTCAAGATACTGGCTCGGTCTTCTCCCTCAAGACGTTCTGTTATTTCTCTGTTTGTTGTTATAATCCAAGGAATGTTGGGTATTTCCTGATGATCTTGGTGTTTGACGTCAGTCTCCATTGCTTCTCCTCCTAATATGGACTTCCAAAGGTCAACTTCAGTTGATGGTATACTGGCTTCTTCCCACAAGACGCAATTGCTATCTGGCAACCTCGAGAATCTAAAGTTGTTCCCGCTCGAGTTTTTTGTAATCTTTGTTGGGTGGAGATTGTGTAACAGGATCTTAGCCACCAACGACTTTCCTGCATTACTCACACCCTGGATGACGAAACCGTGGATCTTTGAATTTAGTCCGTTGAACACATAGCAGAACTTAGCTATGAAGTCCTTAAACTTGATGTTATTCTTCTCAATAATGTTTACAAATCTGTAGACCATATTATGTTCTTCTTCTGTTAATGGTCGATCCTCTTTATAGACATATCTCAGTCTCTCAAGGTAGGACATGTTTCTCATGACGTCATTTTCCATTTGGAGCCACATGTCATGACAATTCTTCAGTACGTTTGCATAGTATGGTCCATATATTCGGAACATGTTCATTTTCTCAGATGGTGGTATCTTGTTTTTAATCTGTCCTGGTGCCAATGGCCTGTACTTGTTAAATAGGTCCATACACTGGTCTAGTTGGACGTCATATGTCTTGATCTTGGACCTTGTTATTGATCTCTCCTCTCTAAGCTTGTCTAATTGTTGTCCACAGTATGTGAGTCCAGTCTCTACATCGATGTTCTCCGCCTCAATGACTCCTTGATATTCTGTTAGGAAATCTAATATTACTTGAACTCCACCATTATAGTGGACCCACCTTCCTCGGATACCCGCGCGGCTAAGGTATATGGCATATTTGTAGGGATTCCTGACCGAGATAAGGCTCCTCTTAGCAATTGCAATTTGGGTTTCGTTAAGTCCAAATGCTTGACCAATTCTATCCACTGTCCTCCACTTGTTGGAGAAGTAGGCACTGAAGACGACGTGGATATGTTCTCGATCTGTTCCTGTTCCGTGTCTGACGAAGGCAAACTTGCATTTTGAGGCTGAGCTAGGTCTAAGGTCCCTTCCGTGGATGACGAACGAGAAGATGTTATCCCAGAGGGCATCTGGTTCTGATCCGTCATCATCAGATCCTCCTCCTCCCAGTTCTGGACGAGTTCCTCTATTTCCCTCACGTTGTCCGCTAGTTCCTGGTCTAGCCTCCTCTTGGTTCGTGCCTTGTTCATGAAAGTTACAGTTTTTTCAGTGAGATCTCCTTTCTAATGATGTTGGTAAGATACTATTATTACTTAAATAGTGGGATTGCAGGCTACCTGCTACATTTTAGGTATATAGTGTCATACAGTGGGATAATTCCCCACCACACATCATTAACCCACGTTGGGGGGGCAGACCACTGGGATAGGATTCCCCCTGTCCATTACAGTCTGGCGGGAGACGAGTAGATAGAGGTAGATTCTCGAAGAGTAGAGTCGACGAGATCTAGAGAGCATATATATGAAGATTGATCTTCTCGCGTATATACCTCCATAAATCACATAACGCGAGTCTATCTCTCTCGCTCTCCCCTTCTCTCTTTTCCTCCCACTTTCCGGCCCTCTTTCTCGTATAATAACAATTCTGATAATTGATAACGATAAAATAAGGATAGTGATTTTGATAACAACAATTACATAACAAAAATAAATAAGGAGAATAGACAAAAACAAGGGAAAAATAGGCAAGATTCAAGAATTAAACAGAGATTTCTTAATATGAAAACGTTACAATGATAATAACTGAAATAACTACTTTTGACAATATAGCAGTGGTGGCACTTTGGCTAAAGCAAGAAAAATAGACAAACAAAAAAGTTAAATATGAAAAGCATAAGACTAATGGGCAATTGCAATGCGATATATAAGTATTATGGGCCCGGTTTATGACAAGAACCAATGTCAATGAGTAACCGGGACAGTAATTATGAGCTTCTAATGGTCACAAGAAATGGAAATTAGAGCTGTACTAATTCATAGCTTTCTTTATTTGAACAAAAAAGTCAAACCCTAAACATTTTTCCACTTTCTTTTGTTGAAAACAAACCGGGGGGGGGGGGAAAAAAACGCCTCATTGAATCAGTCAGCAGTAATGGTGGATATACATTCTTGATGGTAGGCCAATTTGGATAGGAGACGCAATATCAAAATTTTTTGAAAAATATGACCTGGAATTTTGAATATCTGTGTATTACCACAACAAATACTCTCTTTAGTTATCTGTGTTATGCAGAAACTCTTAATTAGGTAATTAAAGAAATATATTTTTAAAGATCAAAATGAATAGAAAAAATCAACATCTCTCGCATTTCCTCATAAAAGGAAATTCACCTCGATCTATTAACTTTAATTTTTGGTTTGCGTTCTCTCAGCTAATTAGCTTTCTGTGTATGTGTTCCTATTCCCTCTCACTTTTTTTCTCTCTCTCTTGCTCCCACCACCCTTCTCTCTCGCTTTTGCTCTCGCTCTCTCTCTCTCGCGTCTCATACTGACTGCCTCTCCTTCTTTCTCTCTTTTATTTTTATCGCTCTCTTCTCTATCGCGCCCTCTCTCGATTCCGTTCTCTTTCTCTCCCTCTCACGCTCCTCTCTCAACAAGGTCAGATTTTAAGTCCGTTTTCACTCTTTTATTAAATCAGTCATAGATTTCATTAAAATGATAAATTGATGTCAGAATAAGTCTTAAACGGTTTCTATAGGTTTTATTTCAAATGTTATCATTTTAATGATTTTATTGGTTTTATGATTTATTGCAAATTTGGCACTCACATAACACTTATAGCGATGTTATTCCTCTAAAAGTAACATCCTGATATGCTCTTACTATTTTGTGTTTCCTTGATCCTCAGCATTTCTACTCGAACTTTATTTATTGGAATGGTCGAATAATGTTTGTAAATAGGTGTTTTCTTTTGTTTTGAATGTAACTATGTGAAAACCCATGCGATTGATTATTTGGATATGGCTCTTTCGATCTTCGGACCTTACTATGGAAACTCAAAATGTTGATGATGTTGGTATTGTATATGTTAAGATTTGACCGAGTACATTCAGAAATAGTGGAAATGCATGTGGATTTGGCAGCTATGTGATTCTATGTGATTGTTGTTATGTTCCGTGTGTTTTTATTGCTATGACGATAACACAAATTAGCCGCATGACATTTATTCCTTTGTTTGGCGCATCATAATTTAATATATGAATTTCAGTTACATATATAAAATTAAATATGAATTCCTCCCCAAACATTTTTAAACATTTAATGGTAACCTAGTATCTGAAGAACTCCTTAATATCTACCCAATCTTTCACCCACACATATACAACAATCATTCGTACAAGTAATGCATATCTATCGTACCACCATTCCCAGGTAATATCTATAGTACATTATCATTTGCCAAACTGTTCTAGTGCCCAATCACTAGGATCTAAGAATAAGGAACAAGTACAAAACAGCATGTTATCGTAATCTATACTAGCATTGGGTATGGTATATACTTTTATTATCAGTATCATTTACATTATGATTATTATAATATTATTCGATTGGTAAAGCAACAAAAAAAGTCGGACGTCTGTCAAAGATAATACGGTACAAACAGCTATGATGAAATCTTGCCCGAATTGGTTTAGAATTCTTGCTTTCGGTTTCCACGCTTCACTCTCTCTCGCTCTCATTCTCCCTCACTTCTTTCCCAATTTACCTGCCTTCTTTTCTCTTTTCTTTTTGGTGAGTCTTGTTATTTGATATTAACATTTTATTATTCTCTTATCTTAAACGATTTACTCTATTCATGATAGTGAACATGATTGCCATAATTACATTATATTATATCAAATATTCTACTTAATCAAAGCAATAACGTTTTGTGGAAAGAAGAAAATGTTTATCGCAATGCTCTAGTATATGGACCTCATTTTGAGTTGTGTTTGTTCATGCACAACTACTGATCATTAGTAGTATATGTACGTAAACAAAACAATTCATTACTTGTATCGAAAAGGCCATTCAACGCAATTCACCCTTATAAATATACTTATGAAAACTTTATTTAGCACGTTAAGAAGGAAGAGCGACGCCGTGTTTCTCTTCCCCTTCTTACGTCTTTAATTTCTTTAGTTCTTTATTTCTTTCTACATTGTCTCTCTGTCACTCCGTCTGTCCGGTAGAATTCCCGTTTTCTTATTTCATCTACGTTTCTGGTGATTTGTTTACCTTCTCATATTATTCATTATTCCTCGTACTCCTACTAATACCCGTTTGCATATGAAACGGTAACAATATCAAAATATCATAGGAAAAGTTATATTTAATAATTTCCCCAGGGTATCCGAGTTCGCTGCAATTCCCCCCTTTGTTTGCGACAAAATTATTAAGATGTGATGTTTGACTCATTGTTCTAGTCACAATTCAATGAAGTGAAGTACACTATCCAAAGTCCGGCATCGAACTACTGCATCGAACTACATTTGGATGACTTAAATGTATATTTTGAAGGCACATTTCTTTATATTAAAATTTTCTGTGCATTTTTATTATTATTATTATTATTCAGTCATATAAATTTTATTCAAACTGTATCACACTTTATTCACATGCGAATACATTTCCCAATATAAAAAGATACATTATATATAATACCCCTTTCCATAGACACAATGTTTTATGTTTTAACACAACTGACACGCTTCCTTTTTCATTGAATGGCAAAGTAGAGGTGAATGGTTAGCGTTGTTTTGAGACTCGGTCATCAGTAATGTCGCATAATGTCATAAATGTTTGTATATCACCACAAGACTCTCATGTTTTTGTAATACTTCTCTACCATAGTTACCAAGACTTATCTGGGTAATGTAAAACATATAATATTGTCTGATGATTTATATCTTATTATACCCAATAACTATGCAAATGTTATAAAAAATAATCGTTGAAGAAAGACTAATATAGAAGGAATCTTGGAATACAGATTTTAAACACTATAAATCGAAAATACAGCAAAACAGGTACCGAGTTCGGCCAACCAGAACCAGCGACATGATTCACTTATAATCGAGGTGGCCTGTTGAATCTTTCTTCATAGCTGGCGACCTATGACCTCTGAGCTCGAGAAGGGGTTGACTTTATCCCGCCTCCGTGGAGACATTCGTGAACCGCCAAACACGAGCAAGTGTTTACAACACCTGGTAACTTTTTTCCCCCGGTATACAAGTGTCTGGGTGATGAGGAAGAATTCTAACGGCGAGCAGGACGGAACCACGTCATTTCCATCTGCGCAACAGGCAAAGTTGAGGAAGATCAGGTGGGTTTGGAGACGTGACAG